CCTGTAAAGTGGGTTTGTCATTTACTTTAAAATTGAAGGGAGAGTTTAGTCCTGTAGTTGAGCTGTCTACGAAAACAATTGTTATTATGCTTCCTTTTTTTACAGTAAAGGGCAAAACATCAATTCTTGCCATGTCATCCTTTCAGCTTTTAACTGAAAGTTCAAATTCATGTTAAAGTTATGTCGCTGCAGAGATCTGGACAATCACTGCATTCAGAAGATAACTATCAAAAATTCTGGGGAAAATCTTCTCCCCTCCAAGCATCGGTCTGAAAATTTGTGGTAATCCTGGGTTTAAAATTGCACAGCAGTTTATATATTCCTATAGCAATCTTAAAAATGTAGTGTCTTTTCTGAGCCTTCATTTCCCGAAGAGTAAGCATTCATAAGTTTATTATTCAGATGTCTTATGTGTTTACTTAAGTGGTGATTAGAATTGTACACAGCACCTCAACCGTACCCAAACCTGCTACTTGGTCTTGGAATTTGTGTTTACATTTGTAGTTATACACCTCAAGATCTAGCCCGCAATCTTTACTGCTGTTGCACAATGGATATTAATTTGGATAAACTTATCCGGTATTAGCAAATATCTATTTGGTGTTTCTCAACATTATTTTGTAGTTTCTGCCAAATCACAAGCCATCCTGATGTGAAACTGTATGGCCATAAAATATAGGAGGTCAAATGGGCAACTTCTGCTATCAAGACTGCTCCGCCACTCAATGAGATTACAGCTGCTCTGATCAACTCCAGTGCCACTTCTCTGCCTTTTTCCCCATTATTATTGATTCCATCCTGGAAAGAAATCTTCCTATCTCAGCCTTGATATATAACTTTATTGCTATTCATTTATTGTGGCGGGTCAAAATCCTGGAACTCCCTCCCTACTAGCACTGTAGGTATACGTACACCCCACTTCCACAAGGATGTTCACCATCACCTTCTCCAGGGCAATAAATGTAATCCTGGGTGATGACACCCACATCCTGTGAACTATGACAGACAAGAATAATTCAGTCATGAATACCATCTCTTGCACGTGAGTTTCTCTCTCCAACATTCTTGTTGGTATTTCCACTGTTTCCAATTTGCCCAATCTGGCACAATTTAATACCATCTTTAAAACTTAGACATGTTTGTTTCTGTCCAAAGTTTCTAATGGTTTATTTACAAAGAAAACAGCAATGGCCCCAGTACAGGTCCTGTGGCCCTCTGCCAATGACATCACTTATCATTCAACAAATTTCCATTCATAACCACCACTTTTTCAGATTTGGCCAATTTTCAAACCTGCTCAGGAACATGGCTCCTGTTCTTTTAGGGCTGAATATTTTAATAACAGATCAAAAGCCTCGCTAAGGTTGAATGATATTGCATCCAATGAATTTCTGCCGTCACCAAAGAATTTCTCTTCTTCGCAGAACATTTGCTAGGAAGATACGTCTCCCACAATTTCATTCACCACTTCTTGTCCTATTCAACCTACTAGGTTGATGGGGAGGCAACAGTCTAATTGTCTTATTGCTGGACTGTTAATCCAGAGACTGTTAATCCAAATCCTGCCAAGGCAGATGGTGGAGTTTGAATTCAATTAAAAAAAACATTTGGAATTAGAAGTCTAATGATGACCATAAATCTATTGCTGATAATTCGAAAAACACATTTAATGCTCATTAAGTAGGGAAACTGCCATTCTTACTTGGTCTGGCCTACATGTAACTCCAGACCAATAGCATTGTGGTTGACTCTTAACTGCCCATTTGCTCAGAACGTCTACTCCTTCAGATTTGGGGCAGATAAAACTGACCGTTTCCCGGTTGTCCTTGCACCATATGTAAAAGGTACAGAGTCAAATCTTGAGAGACAGAAGAGACCGAGTCCAAAGCAGGGCACTACAATGAATTTTATGCTTTGCTTTTCCTACAGTGAGAAGGATTTTTGTGTCACTATTCTAATGCTTCCCTCATGCATCAGCAGCTCTTCCAATTTCAGATACTTTGGTGATTTTCTGTTCTTGTATTCAAGCCTACAAATACACAACTATCATTGAAACACGTGGAAATAATATTGTACTTCACCTTTTGTGCACTTGATTTTAATCATTTCAACCTAGATTACTCTTCAAAATCCATAAAGAAGCAATATCAGCCTCAAAACAACATCAGTGGCATTACCACCACACTAACAACAAGAATCCTGCTACTAACATTTTTGCAAGACCTACTGTATAAAGTGAAGCATCATGCATCAGGCATTAGGTCCCTTTTTTTAAAAATGGATGAATTAAGAAGCTATGACATGTAGACCTATAAGATTGTTATTTGAAGATAGTACATCCAGATTGCAGTAGAGACCCCAGAAAAGCAAGTATTATTTTGTTCGGGCCATAAAACAAGATCCAAAAAAGGTTACAATCTAGGTAACTGAAGAGTAAACTATACTCAAATCAAAACATTTATTCGAACAGCCTGCACAATGGCATTATCATCACTGTGATTCGTGGTAAGTAGGTGCATATCCACAGGCTAACCTCATCCGAGCCCAACATTGTATTGTAACAAATGGCTCCCTCTGGTGGCTCATCGGGTTCCAGAAAATTCACACTGAAAAAGGATAGGAAATATTTCTGGTAAAAGCACACACTACACAAACATTAGTTTCCATATTTGAATACGAAGACAAAGGAAAAGAAAAATCAGAATGCAACATCAATATTGCACTGTACTTTCATTTAACGTAATGGCTAAACTCCTTTTTATTCAGAGACACACATTTGGGGATATAGCAGTCAATCCCAAATGTGCACAGAATTCTAATTTTGGCTTTGTGCAAATTATGCACTATTCAAATTGCCTCATTAATATTTAAATCAATTCTGTGCACAACCTGACTACTATTAGTGCCATTGATATGACATACACAGAAGATGTAGACATTCTCCCACCAGGTAAAAGGTCCATCTTCCAAGAGAAGACATGGTACCTTGAATGAACCAAACTGAAGGAGGGCTAATGGCTTTGCTGTCTCAGTCTCCCCCTAACCTATTTTTAAATAAATCAGAATTCTTTACATCCACAATGACATCATATTACGCTGGAGGTTCACCTGGAGTTATTCTGCATTTACAGTAAGTCTTTGTGTATTGAAGGGGAAACTAGTCATCTTTCTTTATTCAAGTATGGCCCAAGTGCATCTTAATCAATACAGGCACAATTTGGGTGCAAATCTCAGCACAAATTCAGTCTGCATGCTTGGATAAATATAAATGGAAAAAAAAATACATTTTCCAGATATAGGTCAGTTATGCATGGAGATCTTTGTGCATCAAATAAAAAAAATCTGTTGAGTGTTTCTGGCACAGTACTCCGATTGGATTCAGCCCATAGATCAATGGCAGCTTAGGAATTAAACAAAACCAGACCAATTCCCAGCACAATCACAGGCATCCTGAGAGATGTGATCTGTACCTTGGGACACTGACATTCAAGTCACAAGTCAGACCTCTTGCTTCCAGTGTGAAAAAAACGCGAGATTATTGCTGCTTTGCAAACAATTTCTAATCAATATTTACAGTTTCTCAAAATGGTGAAATAACTTATTCAAAACTATTAGAAAACAGAAAGTGTATCAAACTAAAACTTGAATCTTTTCCTTAACAAAATAAAAACCAAAAGAACTGTGGATGCTGTAAATCAGGAACATAAACAGAAGTTGCTGGAAAAGCTCAGCAGGTCTGGCAGCATCTGTGAAGAGAAATCAGAGTTAACTTTTCAGGTCCAGCGACCCTTCCTCAGGACCCTGAATGTTTTCCTTTACATCTTACGGATGGTCTCAGTGTGGTTGCCTTTTCTTTTGTACATTTACAACTCTGGACATTTATGTTAGTGGATATTTGATTATCTAATACAACTATAAAATCTGTTGATAGTGTGGCAATCAGAAGACAAAGTAATTGTTGATCTTTAACATACTTAGACATTTTGATCATGTCAAATAGTCTGAATCCTTCCTCTTACACAAGTGAGTTTTTTTTTAAAAAAAAAATAACCTGCCCAAGCTGAATAGCATTGTCTAGAAAAAGCAGCCATTCAGGAGCAAAAACAGATTGCATGATTAAATATCATATAATTCAAAATGTAAACATTTCACCATTGCATGAATGCTCAACACTTGGAAAAGCTTACTTAAAAATTAAGTTTAAAATAACAATTGCCATGATAAATAGCTGCCCTTAAACAAGTTTATGCAACACAAACTAAAGAAAATGATTGTCTTATGATCAGCATGCAAAAGCAAATGAATCCAGCAGTACATAAGTGTAAACTGGGTTAATATAGGTACTACACAGATCAAAAACATATTCCCACACAACAGGCTGAAAGAACGACAGGTTCAGAGAGGTTTAAGGAGGTTAACATTGTTGCTCGAGTCTCAAGAATTGATCAATTGCACTCATTAATTTGTTGTTTCTAATAGGAAATTTAAAAAAAGGGCTTACAAAGTGAACATAAAAGACAAAGCAAGTGAGGCTGTCATGCTACCCCAAACTATAACTGTTCTACAAGTACAACCAGAACTTAAACACTGAATTTCAATCTATAATTACAAATTCACTGCCAATGGAGCTAAATATACCATTGATACAGCATCACAATTTACAAGAACAGCAGCAAGTAACAATCTTTGCTAATTCAATTCATTCATCTTGGTTACTGTTATAACAGTTATAACAAACTCAGGTTCAAGACAACTATATACAGCGGGGTAGGAGGTAAAGTAGTAGTGGTAAAAACATTACATGAGAATAGAAACACAGACAGGCTCCAAATAGAATGCAGTGCAATCTAACTAAAACATTCATTACAAAATTATTATCTTAACATGACAGATCTTACTTTCAGCATAGCATGAGTTTACTGTAACTATAATCAGCCTATAAAACACAACACTGATACAGAGCACGGAGTAAAGCATGAAACTGCAGCAGTTCACACTACCTTTATCAGTCAGTCTTCTCTCATTTCTAGGACACGGGCTTCTTAAAAAGGATCCCCTTAACAATGCCAGGAAGCTCTGAGACCACACAGCTCCGAAAAGGACTCTCAATAGCTTCTCCTCTCAACCCCATTCAACTGCAGTGACTGAATTAGGCCAGCTCTAACCATCTGTTGAAACACGCCTGGATTAGTCACTGTACTCTGTTTGCACCCAGTTGAAAGCTGCAGGCTGGGTGTTTCCTAGTAGCAGAGGCGGAGCATAGATTACCATCTAAAGCACTCCAGAATTCTATGATTGGTACCTTGCAAAGCTAATTGGTAAATGAGCTATGTGAGGTGGGGAAAGTTACTAAGTGGATCGGTTTTGTTTAAGCTGCCTGTGCTTCAAGGACCGTGCAGATTCTGGGCTGGGTATATTTGTGCATTCACAGTACATCTGTAGCAGACATTTCAGTTTGATCAGCTGGTCTTTATGGATACAGAGGGGAAAGGTATTCTTTATTTATTAGGAAACAGCTGGCTTAATTGGGCCCAGCAGCAATTTATTGAATTCACTCTGATACCATAAAATGAGAGAACAGTGCATAAAATGCCTTTCCTACTGTGAGATTCCAAAGGCCATTAATTTCTGAAAATCAAATGTGAGAGAAAAAAAGAATGACTTATAAAATGCACAGGTGAGTAAATCCTTGTGTTTCCCATCCTGTTTTTTAACCCAACAGTAAATGAATGATGAATCAATTGTATAGATTTTTGAATGATTGTGCAGGTAAATTGTGGTTTGCATAAATCAATCTGCAGCAGGACGCAAGGCAGACAAATTCTTGAATATAAATTTAAGCTTTTATATCTGAATAAGCTTTTCAACAAATTTCATAGCAACAATAAGACAGGTGGGTCTCCTATCTGAAGATAAAGAGCATATCTTGCACTTGGTCCCCTTGTGGTGCACAAAAATGAGCTACAGCACGTTGGCAGCTGCTGGTACGAAAACCCATGAAAATTAAAAAGAACATTAAACAGAGAATAAAACACTGTCAAATCTCTGCAGCCAATGTGTCAGTACTAATAAAAACTCTCCACCCCCTTTAACCCGTGCAGGACTGCAACAGCCTATGTGTTGTAACGTCTAGGTTTTACTGCATTTTATTTCATATATGTATGAACAGACATACACAAAGGAGTAAGCCAGTCAGCCCCTTGAACCTGCTCCACTATTCAACAAAATCACGGCTGATCTGATTATAACCTTAAATCCATATTCCTGATAATGTTTCAACCCTTATTAATCAAGAATCTATCTACCTTTACTTTAAAGATATTCAAGGTCTTTCCTTTCACCATCTTCCGAGGAAGAGCGTTCTTAAGACAAGTGATCCTTAGAAAGAAAAGAAGTTTCCCCTCATCTCAGTTTTAATGGGCAACACCTGAACTTAAACAGTGACTCTTAGTTTTAGATTGACTCATGAGAGAAACCATTCTCTCCACATCTGCCCTATCAAGACTGCTCAGGATCTTGTGTGCTTCTATCAAGTCACAATCCTAACTGTTTTGTTTATTTGTAAAATTTCTGCAAATTTCACAAAATCTGCTTCCAATTTCCATGACATAAAATGTATTTTCTGACTTTTGCAGCTGTACTACAATAGAACGCACCTCAGCTTTCAAAGAGGTTCAATGGTCAAGCAGTGCAGTATTAACGGAATGGCTGAAGTCACTCAGAAAGCTTTTGTGTGCTTCCTTTGTTTCCGCTAAATATCTTTCTGCGGGTATCATTAGTAATCTCACTGGCTACTCACTTGTCTGAAACTCTCTGGGAGCAATAAAAAACAAAAATGATCATTTACACGTGTGATGTTAACACTCTGATAGGTTAAGGGATTCATACCAGCAGTCTGGAATATTATATTTCTAATCTTTGATATAACTTGCGTAGAAAACATATGCAAGATTTTATTTATATATAAAATCACAATTAAAACAGTTCTCAGTAATTATTTTTGAGAAATGCAGATGAATGTTACTTGTGAGATGTAGTTCAAGATAGCATCATTAGTATGTGTGCTCAAAATCAACTTGTGTTAAAGGATGGCTTATTTCAGGACATCAAGGTGTTATAAATGGCATCTTATTTCAGGGGAAGTAAGATCTAGCTGTATTGCAATGTAACTGATTCTTAAAACTGACAACCTGGCTGTATTTGTAAGATAAGAAGTGCTTACACTAATTATATACAAGCTATCCTATCTTATGGTTCCCTGGGAGACGAGATGCAATGCAACCTTTTCAGGGTTACAGTTGCAATATTACTGACTGAAGAGCTCTTCCATCTGCATCACAACAGATCCGTCTCCCCCATCAAACCATGAGCTCTTTATCATGGCATATAAAATTTATACTTATTGTACCTGAACCTGAGCTCATGCTATATTGTGTAACAGTCTATGTTTCCATTACTCTGTCAGTTCATTTTATATTAACATTCTGCATTGTTGTTACCCTGAGGTCTCCTATTGTAACATTCTACATCATCATTACAAAAATGTCACATCTTCCTATAGTGAGTAATGATTTACTATATTGTTACCCTAACCTCAACCTGTTTTATAATATTTGGTAACATTTTATGTTATTATTTAGCAGATATAATTTCAGAAATCTGATACCTATCAGAAAATTTTTCAGTATTAGCCAGGATATTTAAAACTAATACTGCCATACCACAGGAACTGGTTGGTGGTTGTGGGGGCAGGGAAGGACTGGTGACAGGGAAGGACAGTTAAAATCACTCTTGAGTCATTAGTTGCATTCTATCAGCTGCCACTTTAACCATGATCTTTTCTTTAGATCAGCTGAGTGCTCGCAAATGACAGTAATAATGCAACATCTACACTTTTGTCAATGAACAGCAACCGGCTTTATTGAACATAATATACAGAAGATACAAGAGAGGATTTGTGGCCTTCAGAGAAGGACATCTGCCACCCTCACCTGGTCTGGGCAACATGAGATCCCAGACCCACAGCAATGTGGTTGACTCTCAACTGCCCTCTGAAATGGCCCAGCAAACCTCTCAGTTGTTATCAATCGTCATGAAGTCGCAACAAAGAAATGAAATTGGATAGACCACGTGATATCGACCTAGGCACTGGAAAAGACAATGGCAGAAACAGCCCTGTCAACCCTGCAAAGTCCTCCTCACTAACATCTGGGGGATATTTCCAAAATTGGGAGAACTGTCAAATAAACTAATCAAGCAACAACCTGATATAATCATACTCACAGAATTATACATTACAGATAATGTCCTAGACAGCACCATCACCATTCCTAGATATGTCCTGTTGCACCGGCAGGACAGACCCAGCAGAGGTGGTGGACAGTGGTATACTATCCATAGGGAGTTGTCGTGGGAGTCCTCAGCATTGACTTCCGACCCCATGACAACTCTTATGACTTCAGGTTAAATATGGGCAAGGAAACCTCCTGCTAGTTACCATGTACCATCCTCTCTTTGCTGATGAATCAGTACTCCTCCATATTGAACAACACTTGGAAGAAGCACTGAGGGTGGCAAGGACACAGGATGTACTCTGGGTGGGGGATTTTCAATGTCCACCACCACGAGTGACTCAGCGGCAGATCTATTGATCAAGCTGGTCAGGTCCTAAATGACATAGCTTTGATACTGAGTCTGTGGCAAGTGGTAGGTGTTTGAGGGGACCAACAAGAGAGAAAAACATACTTTACCCCGTCCTCATCAATCTGCCAGCTGCAGATGTATCTGTCCATGACAGTATCGATAAGAGTGACCACAGCACAGTTGTTGTGGAGACAAAGTCCTGCCTTTATATTAAGAATATCTCCATTGTGTTGTGTGGAACTATCACTGCACTAAATGGGACATAATTTGAACAGATCCAGCAACTAAAATCTGGGCATCTATGGGACGCTGTGGGCCATCAACAGCTGCAGAATTGTTCTCCCGCACAATTTGCAACCCCATGGCCCAGCGTATCCCCCGCTAAACCATTATCATCAAGCCAGGGGACCAACCTTGGTTCAATAGAGAGTGCAGGAGAGCATACCAGGAGCAGCACCAGGCATACCTGAAGATGAACTGTCAACCTGGTGAAGCCACCAAACAGGACTACTTGCACGCCAAACAACATAATCAGCAAGTGATAGACAGAGCTAATCTCTGCAGTCCTGCCACATCCAGTCGTGAATGGTGGTGGACAATTAAACAACTCACTGGAGGAGGATGCTCCACAAATATTCCCATCCTTAATGATGGAAGAGCCCAGCACATCAATGCAAAAGATTTCACAGAAATCTTCAGCTAGAGTGGATGATCCATCTTGGCCTCTTCCAGTGATCCCCAGCATTACAGATGCCAGTCTTCAGCCAATTCGATTCACTCCACGTGATATCAAGAAATGGTTGGAGACACTGGACACTGCAAAGGCCACGGGCCCTGACAACATTCCAGAAATAGTACTGAAGGCTTATGCTCCAGAACTTGCCACACCTCTAGCTAAGCTGTTCCAGTACAGTTACAACCCTGGCAATTACCCAACAATGTGGAAATTTCCCAGGAATTTTCTGTACTCAAAAAACCAGTTATTACCCTATCAGTCAACTCTTACTCATCAGTAAAGTGATGAACGGTGTCATCGTCAGTGCTTTCGAGCAGTGCCTGCTTAGTAATAACCTGCTCATTTGGGGTTCGGCCAGAGTCAAACATCCCGACCTCATTACAGCCTTGGTTCAAACATGGACAAAAGAGCTGAATTCCAGAGGTGAGGTGAGAGTGACACCTGTCGACATCATGGCTGCATTTGACCAAGTGTGGCATCAAAGAGCCCTAACATATGGGAATTAATTGGAATTAGGAGGTGAACTGTGGGCTGGTTGAAATCACACCTGGTGTAGTAAGATGGTTGTGGTTGTTAGAGGTCAGTCATCTCAGCTCCAGGACATCTCTGCAGGAACTCCTCAGGCTAGTGTCTCATGTCCTTTCATCATCAGCTGCATCATAAACGACCTTCCGTCCATCATAAGGTCAGAATTAGGATGTTCACCAATGATTGCCTAATGTTTAGCAGCATTTGCAACCCCTCATTTGCTGAAGGAGTCCATGTTCAAATGCAACAAGACCTGGACAATTAGCCTGGACAAGCAGCAAGTAACATTCGTGCCACAGAAATGCCAGCTATGACCACTACCAACATGAAACAATCTAACCACTGCGCCCTTGACATTCAGTTGTGCTACCATCACTGAATCCTCCACTATCAACATCCTTGGGGTTACCATTAACCAGAAACTCAACTGGATTTGCCATATAAATACAGTCGCAACAAGAGCATGGTGGGGCGGCACGGTGGCTCAGTGGTTAGCACTGCTTCCTCACAGTACCAGGGACCCGGGTTCGATTTCACCCACGGGTGACTGTCTGTGTGGAGTTTGTACATTCCCCCCATCTCTGTGTGGGTTTCCTCCGGGTATTCTAGGTGCTAGAGTAGAGATGTGTGTCTGGGTGGGATGTTCTTTGGCGGTTCGGTGTAGACCTGATGGACTAAATGGCCTGATTCCACACTGCAGGATTTCTATGATTTTTATTCTAAGAGCAGTTAGAGGCTAGGAATACTACAGTGAGTAACTCATCTCCTGACTCCCCAAACTCTGTCCTAGCAGATGATTTTCATCCAGCCCCTGATATGGGGACCCACCATATTAAACTTCATCCCATTGCCCACCCAGCTCCTCTATGATCCCCTTGTGGAGGACATGGTGGTGGTCACTGCCATAACACTTTTCCTGCAGTCTATCATGTCCTCTGGTTCTGTGGGACATACCCCACTTCAGCCCTCCTATACCTTTGAGTTTCCCCTGTCACTGCATTTGTCCTTACCTCTGTAAATGGCCCCGCTTTCTCCCTCATTCCTTCTGGCAGTGATCTCGCTGCTATTGATACTGGCTGTACTTGCAGCCTTCTTAATCATCAAGGGAGGGAGGTTGCTAGTATGCAAGCAGACGCTAAGTGAGTGATCACTTAGAGAGTGAGCAGGCAGCTCTGAGATGCAGCCTGGTCCATTCTGTGAGCTGGGTGCCTGTCCATGGGTGCAAAATGTCCTTGCAGCAGCCTTTCAATGCTAGTTGCCCCACAATGCAGCTGTGTGTTTTCTGAGCATCCCACCTGTGTACAGAGGATTTGCCCTGATGGCCAAGAGGTCTGCCAGTGTGCCAATGTCTATGAATGAGGGCTAGTGCAGTTGGTGCCCACAAGATGCTGTTTGCTCCTAAGCAACAAGGAGTTCCTTTGGAAAAAAAACAGCAAGCTGAAGTCACCAGGTACATGCTGTCATTTTCATGTTGGGATTTCCTCACTTCTGGCTTGTTCGGCATATTTGGTAAGAAAGGAAGCTAAATATTAACAAGATTGGTTGAACTATTAACAAGGCATTCAACAGCAATAATCCCCCTTAACTGACAACTCACCACTACTTAGCAAAACACTTGCCGCACTGCTAGGCAAAAGCCCAAAAGACGGCATGAGATGCTACCGACATCGAGAATGGCTTCCCTGGATGTCAGGTATGAACCTGCCACAAATCACACCATAGCCAATATCACTCCAAGTCCTAAAAGATTTGACTGAATATTTGAGCCTGCGCAGACAAAGTGTAAAGTAGCATTTATAGTTTGTTTCGAAGATGATATCAGTGTAAATGTTCTGATTCAAAACAGTTTCTTGTTCAGAGTATAATAGTGGATGCTTGCCAATCAATAGAAAGAAAAAGTTGCAGAATAGATAGTCAGCGCTGAACAGGTTAATTCATGTACTGCTTTTTAAATTTTATAGCACAATCAATAGTGAATAAAAAGCCAGCTGCTGCAGCTTATGCAATGTTTGTTTTTATTTACGAAAATATTTTACTAACCTCTAATAGGTCACTCTACTACAAGGTCCATGGGTCACTGGAAGTAATTTTTCCTAATCTTGTAACCCAAATGCTCTGCATTGTCTGTCTTAAAAATAAGAGAAAACATATTCACACAGTCCCATGACTCAGCAATGCTTAAAATCAGGGCAGAATGACATCTGTGACCCCATCTTAAGTTATTGTTCTCAAAATTGTACAGCTATAGACAAGCCCAAGCTGAGACTGTAACAAGACTGGAATGTAAAGCCAGTCTTCTAGTGATGTCTATGCCAATATGTTAGTGAGCTTCTTTCATCTCAGGTAAGACCACAAGTAGCAATTTTCTGAACATCTATTAATTTATACCTATGAAAGCATATCTCTCAACTTGTGTCCATTTTGAGTTATCAGCATAGAGTCATAACGAGACTAGTTCCATTTGCCTGTGTTTGGCCCACATCTCTCTCAACCTTTCTTGTTCATGTACCTGTCTAAATGTCTTTTCAATTTGTAACTGTACTTGTATCAAAGTTTGCCACTAGAGATTTCCAGTCTTCTTTTGGGTGTTGGCAATTAGCCACAGGCCTTAACTTCCTCAATATTTTCCTAATTTTGAGTAGAATCTTATTAGTAATCATTTTGGAGGTGTGAGAGCAGGGAATTTTTAAAATTTGAGTGCCAGGATTTCTACCCAACATGGAGTTAGTGCCTCTGAGGACCCTTCCGAAAGCCAGTGTGATAGCAGCATTAACCAAGGGGAGAGGGTGGCATCATGGTAATGTCACTGGACTAGTAATACAGAACCCCAGGTTAATGTTCTGGGGAAATGCCATCATGGCAGTTGGTGAAACTTGCATTCATTAAAAATCTGGAAAGAGAAAGCTTGCTTAACAGTGATCAATTGTCGCTTTAAAAAATATCTGGTTCACTAATATGTTTTAGAGAAGGAAATCTGCCATCCTTACCTGGTCTGGTGTCCTAATCCCACAGCAATACAGTTCAGTCTTAAATGCCCCTCTGGGAGTTAAATGTGGCCTAGCCAGTGACACCAAAATCCCGTGAAGGAATAAAAAAAAGGTAGCTGATTGTGATAAATTTTACTCAGTGATACCATTGAGTAGAGAGTGGACAGGCCCCACACTGACAGCCTCCAGGCAGCCTTCCAACAATTGCAGGGCCTAGCAAGGTCTCCAACAGCGAGTTCATCTCTCACAGAGCCTCGGATCCCACAGGACCACAGCTGTGACCCAGCTGGCAGCTATGGCTATAGTTTATTTAATATTTCTTTGAAAGAATTGCCTCCATTTGTGGTCTCTCTCCTACATGGGCAGTGCCCATGTCTCTTGGTGGGGTTGCCAGCTACCCAGAATTTCAGACTATCTCATTGACCTGCCCAACTGTGCAACTTGATTGCTGGTCCGGGAGTCAGTCTGATCAGTGGCCACTTCAGGTAAAATCACTCCAGAGAGCACAACTCATAATTACTAGGGTCAAGATCTGGAAATAGTCCCACATATTTTTGAACAATGAGAGCAAGCAGATTCTGCCCTTTGTATCTTCCATTCCTGGCATTCAATTTTACAATGCATTTCAACATTTTTCTGTTATCATATCTTGGATTTGTTCTTCACGTTTACACTTTCACACAATGAGGATCAATGAACTTAACCCTGCTTTATCAGTAACTTCTCTTGTGACGTTATCACTTTATAGTGGAATGCTTTAATTTAACTATGAGTACCTTTAGCATCTTACGTATGTTATAGAATTTCATTTCAATACCTACTGATAAAGAACAGATGCTCTTTGATCACTTAAAAATGAAAGCATTTACAGGCAATTGACTGTTCACATTATTATACCAGCTGTGCAGTTGCTCAGTGGCAAAAGTAACATTTTCCTTTGCTCATGCCAGCTCTGACAGATGTTGAATGATAGACACAACAGTGCTTCCTAAAATTGTTCTGTGTTTTGTTTGTCCTAGTGAGCTGGAGAATTAGTGGATGAGCAATTTGCAGCACAGGTTCTCTCATCAGCTAATTTATTATTTCCTGATGTGACACAAAGAAACAAAAGGAAGGATCCTCCTCAGGTCATATATTGAAAGTTGATTCTTGGACTTGGATTTTCCTAGGTCTGTCTGAAATGTAGTGGAATTGGGCATAAGCTCATATCAGAGTCAGTTTGAAGCTAGAATCACACTCCTAAACGGTGATCCATTGCCAGGAGGGAGGGAATTGCAGTCCAGAGCAGTCAACAGTTGTGGTAGCTTCCAGGCACAGAACACAGAAACATGTGTAAGAAAGCAAACAAAACTGGGAGCACAAGCAGATGTTTTGAACGTCAGGACAGAACCAGTATTGAAAGCATTTGCTGTTAAGGAAATTTGAATTAGGAGCAGGCCACTTGACCCCTTGAATTTGCTCCACACCGAGATCCTCAGAAGTTGTTGTGGAGGCAATACCAGTCAACAGGACCACCAGGAGAGACAGGTCTTTTGGCACCTAAGACAGGAAGCCAGGTGATTGCTAAACAAAGCTGTGGGGTTGCCTGCTGGGTGCAGTGTTATGGAGCAATGAGCAGATGGGGAGAGATGGGGGTAGAACCAGCTAGGGCTACAATCATTCAGATGAGGCTGGAATATGAATTTTGAATATTGCCCACCTCAGTGAGAAAGAATGTGGATAGGTCTCAAATCATAACTCCTGAGCTGCAAAAATCAGGAGAAACACATTTCTAAACCAAAATCTCTGCATAAGTGAAAATATCTGCTATCAGCAAAAAGTGAGCGTGCAGTTATTGGATTATTGTAGAATCACTATTGGTTCAGTATTGCCCTTCAATAGAGAAAGACCACTGCCCCTGTCCACTCTGACAGAAATGTGACTCCAATCCCATACAGATGTGCTTAACTCTTAATTGCTCACTCAAGTGGTATAGCAAATAACCCAGTCATATTGTAACAGAGAAAAGCAAGACATTCACTGCCAAGAATCTGCAGTAATTCTAGTAGTAAGGCCACCCATTTTCTGGCAATAATTTTTGGCTTGTCCATGATCTGCACATCCCAAGAATAAATATTATGAAGAATGAGAGATCACTGAATCAACTAAGTCCCTTTCCAAAACAAGCGGATTTCACACCGTGCCCTCAAATATCACTTCTTACTACAATAATGACAGTATGATTGCATCGGTAAGGTTCATGACGCAACATTTAGCCCAGGCCCATTGAATATTGGATGTGTAATTGACGACATCCAAAACAGATTCTGTCATAAAATTATAGGCTGGTGAGACTGATGTTTGTGGTGGGGAAGCTCTTGGAGAAGATACTGTGGGACAGGATATGTGCGCATTTGGAAGAAAATGGGCTAGTTAGTGACAAGCAGCATTGATTGTACAGGGAAGGTCATGTCTCACCAACCTGATTGAATATTTTGAAGAGGTAACAAAGATAATTGATGAGTGAAGGGCTGTGGACGTTGTTTATGTGGACTTTAGTAAGGCATTTGATAAAGGCTCCCATGGCATATTGGTACAAAAACTAAAACCACATGGGATACGACGTGGGCTGGCTAGATGGATACAAAACTGTCTTGGTCATAGAAGACAGAGGGTAGTGGTGGAAGCATGTTTTTCAGAACGGAGACTAGTAGCTAGTGGTGTTCTACAGAGATCAGTCTTATGTCCTCTGTTGTTTGTAGTATATGTAAATGATCTAGAGGAAAATGTGGGTGGTCTGATTAGTAAGTTTGCAAATTTTGCAACAAAGATTGGTGGAGTTGCTGATAGTGCTGACAATTGTGAAAGGATACAACAGGGTGTAGATAGATTGGCGACTTTGAGACAGAAATGGCGTGTAGAGTTTAATCCAGACAAATGCAAGGTGATGCATTTTGGAGGATCAAATCTAAGTGTGAATTATATTGTAAATGGCAGAACCCTTAGGAACATTAACGTACAGATGGATCTGGGCATGCAAGTCCACAGATCCCTAAAAGTGGCAACACAGGTGGCCTATGTGATTAAGAAGGCATATGACATGCTTGCTTTCATTGGCCAGGGCACAGAATACAAGATTTGGCAAACAATGTTGCAGTTATACAATACGCTTGTTAAGCCACATTTGGAGTATTGTGTGCAGTTTTGGTTGCCACACTATACCAGAAGGACATGGAAGCTTTGGAGAGACTGCAGAGAAGATTTACCAGGACGTTACCCAGTGTTGAGGGCATTGGCTATGAGGAAAGGTTAAAAAGCCTCGAATTGTTTTCACTGGAAAAATGGCGGCTGACAGGAGACCTGATAGAAGTTTCAGTTATAAGAGGACACAAGTTCAAGGTGAGAGGGGGAAGGTTTAAGGGAGATGTGCGAGAAAAAATTTTTGTGCAGAGAGTGGTAGGAACCTGGGACACACTGCCAGAAGAGGAGGTGGAAGCAGGCATGTTGGCAACATTTAAGAGGCATCTGGATGGTTACATGAATAGGAAGGGAATATAGGGATATGGGCCGAATAAGGGCAGAATGTTTGTTTTTTAGTTTAGTTTGGGCATGATGATCGGTGCTGGCTTGGAGGGTTGAAGGGCCTGTTTCTGTGCTGTACTTCTGTTTTGTTCTTTTGTTTTGTTCTTACCTTAAAGGCAAATTTTTACAATCTAGGAGAGAGCCT